TTTTATCCTGATTTCTCTATCTGGGCTTCTTCTTTGGATCCATTTCGTCTCTTGGGCCATTTGATTTGGGCTACCTGTTTTGTGTGTCAACAATTATATTCACGCCACATTTTAATTTCACTTAAGGTCATCAATCTTTGCTCATTGTAAAACTTTTCTCCGTACTTCTTTTTTGTCGAATTTTTATCTTCAATACTATTAATTAGCAAATCTTGTCTTTGATGATGATTTCATTTAAATTTTTTTATTTTTGATTTAAAATGAGGAAAAATATTTTGTCACTTTTTTATTTATTATTTTTAAAAAATATGATTGAAAAATTATTTATTTTTTGCTTTCAAGTGAACTTGTTTCATAGAAACCATTATAAGATATGAGGTGTTCTAATCAATAAAATATTGAAAATAAAAATGCATAAAAAAAAAAAAGTTAAGGACGTAAGGATTACAATAAGAAAAGATTGAGGATCTTAAATAAAATTAAAATGTGGTATAACAGATAAAAAATGTAGCGCGAATATAATCATCATATTGAATATTTTTAGCTAGCGAGATGAACCAATTATACAAATGCAAAGCTACTGATGTGTTCATATTATTTTTAGTATTTCAATTCTTCGTAACTAATCAAGTAGTTAGTTTTGTCAACAAAGCACGGTGCTTAAAAGATCAAAACTATGAATATACATACTACCTTAAGTTGATGGCATTAAAATTTAATTATGATTATAATAGTAGAAACATAACGTTCTATCAATATAATTAACAAAAAAACTTTTCTAAAACTTAAAAAATTTAAAATATCGAAATATTTAGATGAAAATTGTTGTGATTGGACATAAATATTTATTACTTCATTTGAAATTAAAACATTTATATAATTAATTACTAACAATATTTTTTTTGTCTAAGCCAAACATTCGAAGAAAAGTAGAGTCATACACTCAGCCTTCTTATGGAATAATTTATTGTATATTAGTAGTCAATAACTTAGTAAAGAAAAAATTCATTTTTTTTCTTTTATGAATTAATGTTATCAATACAAAGTGAATACAAATTACAGAAAATAACCTTATTTAAAATTAATAGTTCAAAAATTATTTCATATGAATCATGCAAAAATGAATACATTTGCACGTAAGAATTGGTAAGGAAGGCAGAAATCATATCCCTCTAGCTCTCATCCTAGGATAGCCTCAAGTGGAGGTCTTATAATTGATAAATTAAATAATAAAAGATGAAAAAAAATCATATAATTCAATATATAATGATATAAATCCTAGTAATTGTTGTTCCTTGGCGCCAAATTTCGAACAATTCATTATCAATCTCCTCTTCGGAGCATGTATATTTCATAGCTAATTATATTCTTCAACCTTTAAATCCCAAATTAAGATATAAATTTTGAGGATTGTATCTCTAGCCTCTTCTTCTTATTGAATGCAAAAAAATTTATTTATATACCGTAATTAGGTCTAAAATAGATTG